CTAAAATAACATTGGTCTGCGCACAGTTTGTCTGGAGTGTAAAAAAAAAAGCATGAGGTCTCAATTTTTTCTTCATATAATCTCACTGTTGTCTATGGGAAAACTTTGCTTTTTTTATGCAAATGATATAGGCACCATTCCACAAAGCTGTATTAATGTCAGCCGTTATATGACCGTATCTGTTGAACATGTATCAATTTAAAGGGGTCATATGATGTTGCTAAAAATAACATTATTGTGTGTATGTGGTGTAATGAAATGTGTTTATGCAGTTTAAGGTTCAAAAAACACATTATTTTCCACATACTGTACATTATTGTTTCTCCTCTATGCCCCGCCTTTCTGAAACGCGTCGATTTTTACAAAGCTCATCGGTCTGAAAAGCAAGGTGTGCTGTGATTGGCCAGCTATCCAGTGCGTTGTGATTGGCCGAATACCTCAAGCGTGAGACGGAAATGTTACGCCCCTCAACATACTGTGATGCCCTGTCAGGCCGGAGCGACAAGACAAAAACACGAAAAACCATTATAGACGAGGCATTTGTTGCATCCAGTGGGGACATAATTACAGATTATAATGATTCAGTGGGGACAAAATTATGGATTATAATGACTTATACTGTCTTTTTACGCGTTGCGTTGCATTGCATCGTGCCGCGTAAACATAAAACCCTGTCTGCATTTGTGATCAGAGAAATGACAAACAACAAGTGCTACTCCACACTGCCCAAAACTCACGTTTGAATCATCAGTGGCAAATGATGAAAGAAAACGTACTTATGTGAGTCAGAACTGCCGGCATTTTAGTTGTAGTCTACTCTCCCAGGATCAGGAAACAGTCCTCCATAAAATGTGCTGCACACATCTGAATATTTGGGTTAAACTGTTCTGGACGACACACGACGGGTTAGAGTGAGCAGAGGCGGTGGGCTTGAGAATGGCACGGCTGGCAGGTTTGACGAAGGAGCGTCCGGAGGGCTTGCGGCAACCACATGTGACGACCCCGGGCTGGACTCCGCTTCGTCCACGGTGAAAGCCGATCCGGCGATCCACAGCGCAAAGTTGATGTATTCCCTCAGCGACCAGCACGGATCAGCTCTAGGCACGATGAAGCAGATATCGTCCTCTTTTGGAAGCCCAAACAAAGTAGTTTCGCTTTCACAACGAAGCACACAGCGCCTTCACGACATGGCGGCGGCGTCAACAATACTACAGCGAGAATAAAAGTTACGCCTTCTTTCTTTGCGTGAACATTTGGGCGGCGTTATGCAAATCTTCCCACATAGTGATGTAGACATGTGGGGGCGTGTTAGAATGAGCTGTTTTAGGTAGGCGTGGCTGACTCTTAACTTTTATAAAGAATATCTCTTTGGATTTGAGACTTTAGTCTTTGCAACTTTACAGATCTTCTTCATGCACCAAGAGCTTGTAACACTCCAAAGAGAAAGGAACAATTGAAATCGCATCATATGACCCCTTTAAGATATAGTCACCTTTGTCCTCATTCCAGAAAGATTCAATATAGTGGGTAACTTAATAATATTCAGTGCTACTGATAGCATTATCAGGTGATTCAATCGTTCTATATCTGAAAGCAAAATAAGTTCAGTTACACTCTGACAGCTGGACGATTTTATTAGACGACATGTATATTTCATAAGAACTGCAGTGAGGTTGAAAGTCAACAGAGTTGTTCATATTATTCTCAGCTTCCACGACAAAGACTCTCTTCATCTCACAGAACCACTACAACAGCAGTCTCTTGATAGCGGAAATATTTGTTATTATATTACAATTAAAATGAAATAGATTAAATTAAAGGATGCTCTCCTTTTACATTTAAAATACAGCTGACTTTTGGGCCAAACTAGCTGCTGCTGTAGTGCTGCGCTTATCCTATAGCGCCACCTGCTGAACATTTTAAAAATTAAATTATATAAATACAGTATATATATATATATATATATTAGTACTAAAATTAAGGTGGAAATATAAAAATATTAACAAAATTATAATAGTACAGATAATATTATAATATATATAATTTAAATTAATATCACACCAACCTATAAAACATGAAGAACCTGTCTAAACATGATCAAAATGAATTAAATAACACCATAAGGCTTGCTGTGGTTGATATCTCAAGAGAATAGCCCCTCAGGAGTAAACACACTGAAGCTTTTCTTCTTGTACCAGATTATCACTAACATTTAAGATATAATTCTAAATTAAAAATTGATAGAATAATAAAAATTTATACTTTGCCAATATTATGTCTGCGACCATGACCACAAAGCCAAAGCACATACCTTAACAGCAGTTTTCAGTTTTTTTTTTTTTATTAATATTTTTTCTCTCTCTCTTGTTTTTCTGTGTTTGCTATCAAGTACAGCTGCGCTGAAAAAACAAGCGTCGATCTGGCGCCCAGCGGAAAGTGGGCGTGTTTGTTTACATTTCGTCCTGCGCCACGCGACCGTGCGTGATGACGTAAGCTGTACGCACGCAGCGCTCTGGGTCTCGGAAGAGAGGTGGCAGGTTAGCTTTCAGAAAATCGGACTAAAATGATGCTGAAAACGGTAAGACGGACATTTGTAATGTAGCGCGAGTGAGGCAGAAGACTGTACTAGCATTTACGCGTCTCCTTCATGAACAATAATGTCTCTGTCGCCTGTTAGCATCCATTTCAAGTCTCTTGAAATGCTAGCTAGCAGTGTAGCAGGTTAGCCTGATCTCTGATGTGGATCTTGACAGTTCACTTGTTTAAAAGATATCAGTTGTTTCCTCCGACTACCAACGTAGACCTGTTTTTAAGATTTAGTTTCATCTTTATTTCCATGTGGGAGATTGTATTGCCAGAAATGATGTCTTTGTGGGTTTTGCAATCTCTTATACTTGAATGTTTTCATTTGCGTTTCACCATATCCGGAATTCCTTACAAAAATGTGGCCACGGAAACCAATAAAGTACAATTTACCTCCTGCTGTCAATGTAAAACGCTTTCAAAGGCTTTCTGACATTTGCTATATAGTGACTGTGTTACTATAGTATTTGGGCGAAAACCACGGTACATTTTTGGCAGGGAATATAGTGGCTCTTATGCAAATTATTATTATTATTATTATACACATTATTTTATTAATTACATGACAAGGTCTATTACAGGCTGAAAGCCACATTTGTTGTCATTTATTAAATTAGATGAATACTGTATAGAGGATGATGATGGTGATTTTCCTGCTTAACACATAGATAACACTGGGATGAATATTAATGTTATTATTTGCTGTATTACAATCTCTTATATACTTAATTCTAAGTGGTATGTGTGGAGAAAACCAGGCACTGCTCATCACCTGTCCAATACAGTCCCAACAGTGAAGCATGGTGGTGGCAGCATCATGCTGTGGGGGTGTTTTTCAGCTGCAGGGACAGGACGACTGGTTGCAATTGAGGGAAAGATGAATGCGGCCAAGTACAGGGATATCCTGGACGAAAACTTTCTCCAGAGTGCTCAGGACCTCAGACTGGGCTGAAGGTTTACCTTCCAACAAGACAATGACCCTAAGCACACAGCTAAAATAATGAAGGAGTGGCTTCACAACAACTCTGTGACTGTTCTTGAATGGCCCAGCCAGAGCCCTGAGTTAAACCCAATTGAGCATCTCTGGAGAGACCTAAAAATGGCTGTCCACCAACGTTTACCATCCAACCTGACAGAACTGGAGAGGATCTGCAAGGAGGAATGGCAGAGGATCCCCAAATCCAGGTGTGAAAAACTTGTTGCATCTTTCCCAAAAAGACTCATGGCTGTATTAGATCAAAAGGGTGCTTCTACTAAATACTGAGCAAAGGGTCTGAATACTTAGGACCATGTGATATTTCAGTTTTTCTTTTTTAATAAATCTGCAAAAATGTCAACAATTCTGTGTTTTTCTGTCAATATGGGGTGCTGTGTGTACATTAATGAGGAAAAAAAATTAACTTAAATGATTTTAGCAAATGGCTGCAATATAACAAAGATTGAAAAATTTAAGGGGGTCTGAATACTTTCCGTACCCACTGTATATATATGTATATTGTTGATTTGTTACAATTGAAAATTGTAACCATTTTAATTGGAAACGGTTATATAAAAATATATTTTCTCAAGTATATATTCTCAAGTGACCACATTTTCTTAAGAGCTTTAGGATGTTGGACGGATCACTACCTCAACAGGACTGTTTATCAGAAAACCTTTCTTTCCAGATGGCACCAATTCCCACTTACACTTCTGTTGTTTTCTCTTCTTATAGAAGAACTTTGTGAAAATGTGTGAGATTTGTATAAAAATGTGTTTAGCAATAAATGTTTTATTTGTACTGGAGATCCTGGGTTGTTGCAAGAAGATCAATTAATTTTGTGTTTGAGTTGCAACGACCTTTTAATTCCCGGTTTCAGACAGTAGATGGCAGTCTCAACTCACATAATTGGTTCTATGATCAAATACTGTCGTTTAAAATTTATATATATCTATATACACACAGAAAGTGAGAGAGAGAGAGATACGTGTGTGTACTGTATACACACACATAGATAGATGCATGTAGGTATATATATATATATATATATATGTGTGTATGTATATAAGCAAATAACTGAAAGGAAGACATAAATACACATAAATACTTAAAAACAGATTTTTTTTTATTTTTATAGTTAAGGGGTGTCTGGCGTTCACGTGCTGCCTATAAAGTTGACTTAGCCTAAATATCATCATAAAAATAGATACATTATTTTTTAGATTTGTAAGCATGTAATTTAGTTAAGTCTATCATAAGATTGGTTAAATGCTACAGAGGACGACATCACTGTTGCTCAGATGCACCTGCGCGTCCACTTCAAATTCACACAGGCTTGGTGCTTCAACGCGATTGGCTAGCGCTCCATGGTGGGCGGGGTTGAATGTGCGTATAACGCATGTGATTGGGCAGTTGACCTGTCCATTAGATCAAAGGACTCTACCTGACACTTCCTGCCCATGAATGTTTCGTTTGTTTTGGCAGTGTGTTATTTGTGTATCTCTGCCGTGTTTGTGTACACATGTCTTTACATTTATGAACACATAACATCGCCCTGACGCCCCGGAATAATAACCCGACGCACCGAATTGTATCATACGCGCAGTTGAGCCCGTTTAATGGATGATGACTGGAGGCAAAACGTGATTATTTCTTCTGACTGATCCAGGATCATGCAGTACGGAGATGAAAGGTAGGCAGAGCAGATTTGGACTTGATTGATTTGATGGAGTATTGATTAGGAGCAGTGTGCACGACATTCATTCAGACGGGTCAGTAAAGGTGAAAGGTTACAGCCCTAAATCCCGAGAGACAGCAGCTCGTTCCTGTCATCTGCAATGGACACGTTGTTTGCTAATGTCTCTGAGGCAGTTATAAAGAAATACTTTGTTTTGTAATATGTCGTTTTGCATAATTTAGTATTAATAGTGAGTATTTGCATGTGGTGTGGTGTTGTTAGCTCTTGTGTTACTGGTTTACTGTGGCGCTTTGGGTAGGGTTGCCAACTTCAGAAAAGGAAAAAAAGGGAGAATCGTGGTTTTTCATAGAAAAATAAGGGACACACACACACACACACAGACCTATTATGTATATCTGATATATATCTCTTTTATATAATGTTTTTTTTTTTTTTTATGGAGTCTCATCTCATCAAGGCTGTATATATTTGATCAAAAATACAGAAAAAACTGTAATCTTGTTAAATATTATTGCAATTTCTAATATTGGTTTCCTACTTTATTATACTTTAAAATAGAATTGATTTCTGTGACGCAGCACTGATTTTTCAGCATCATTGCTCCAGTCTTCAGTGTCACATGATCCTTCAGAAATCATTCTTATGCTGATTTATTATCAGTGTTGAAATTTGTGCTGCTATTTTTTTTTTTTTTGGAACCCGTGTTCCACACATAAAACAAAAAGTTAAAAAGAACAGAATTTATTCCAAATAGAAATATTTCTAACAATATCACTTTTTATACATTTAACACATCCTTGCTGAATAAAAGTATGCTAAAGGTGTCTTTAAAAAAAAAAAAAAAATGTACTGACCTCAAACTTTTGAATAGTAGTGTATATTTAACACAGAATTTTTATTTTGAATACATACTGTTCTTTTTCAAGGAATCCTGAAAAAATATCACTGGTCCCAAACAAGAATAAGGCACAACTGTTTCCAACACTGATTATAAATCAGCATATTATAATCATGATTTCTGAAGATCGTGTGACACTGAAGACCTGAGTAATGATGCTGAAAATTCAGCTTTGCGTCACAGGAATAAATTAAGTATAAATAGAAAACTGTTATGTTAAATTGCAATAATAGGCTATTTCACAAAATTAAATTTTTTTCTGTATTTTTGATCAAATAAATGCAGGCTTGATGAGCATAAGAAACCTCTTTAAAAAAAAAAAAAAAAAACCATTAAAAATCTTACTGATCCCAAACTTTTGTACGGCAGTATATAGGCCATAGGCAATCTATCTCATGAACAGTTCTCCCATTGTGCAATACAAATATGTGCAATAACCTTATACTCTTTCTCACCCTACATCCATTAAATGTAAATTGAGCATTCGCTCAAACTGATTTGCTGAAGTTGAAACGCAGACGTATTTAGAGTTTGTTATTCGTATGGTCTAGGTCAGGGTTCCTCAAATCTTGCCCTGGAGGGCCAATGCGCTGCAGAGTTTAGCTCCAACTCTGATCAAACTCAGCTACCTGTGATTTTCGTATGATCCTGAAGACATTGATTAGCTTGCTCAGGTGTGTTTGATTAGGGTTAGAGCTAAACTCTGCAGGAAAGTGGATTTAGTGGGCCAGATTTGAGGATCCCTGGTCTAGATGGTCATACGGCATATGCCTTAAATACGGGACAATTCCGTATTATACGGAATAGTTGGCAACCCTAGCTTTGGGTGTAAGAAAAGGGCATTATAAATAAAATGTATTATTATTATTATTATTGTAATATCTCTGAAAGCATAAATGCTTTATATTTTTATATTTAATATATATATATATATAGTTTTATATTTTGGTATTTCTTAAGAAGGGTAGAGGGGAATTTATTTGATTGCTTTTCTACTGTAAATATTTGTTGATTTAGTTAATAATAATAATAATATAATACAAATAAAATAAAAATAAATATGTAAGTAATAATATTAAAATTATTCATGTAACGTCCCGCACACTATCCTCACTTGCAAATATATTCACATTGTGCAGGATATTTCTTCTTTTATTTTTAGTTTTTTTTTCCTATGCACCTATCGATCACCTCCAGGTGTGCGAGGGTTATTGTTGATTGTTTGTTACAATTTTTTTTTATAAGAAATGTAGTTAATAATGTTAATAATATATTTAAATACATTTAAAAATGATAATGTAATTATTGATTTAAAATATATATTTTTTTATTTTGTAAGATATCTATTTAATGATGCCACACATATATATATATATATATATGTGAAGACATTTATCTAAATATAAAATGTGTATATATATATCATTTATTTTTTATTAATAATGACATTATTATATCTTATTTCATATTTGACATTTTTTCTTATTATATCATATTAAACATTTCTGATATTGTTTTATGTTTTCAGAGATATTGTTTAAATGTTTTCATATGCCACATGCCTCTTTGAATGAAAATGTTTTCAAAAAAAAAATTATAAACCGCATATGTCTGGTTGCTCTGTTCAAGTGTTCCATTGTAAAGATTTAGGTCATTTCAGTATCAAAGCAGCTCTTTGTTGCTGGAAAAGGCATTGTTTCTCAGATGCTGAGATGCAGTGTCTGTTATAATGCTTGATATGCAATTCATGCTCTTGCGGTGGAGGCAATGTGAGATGTGTGTAATTGATCAGGATGAAACTTGGAGTAAGTGAGAAGGAATTCAGCAGCCCTGCTCAGTCCAGGTGCTTATTCCTGATGGCTGAGATCCAGAGCATTCCTCAGTTCAGGAACCGGTGTAGTATTCAGCATTTGAGCTGCCGTGTGTTGTGGCATCTGCTACTACGCCACATGAACGCGGGTTTAGTTGACCGTGCAGGACAAACCTGAATAGCCTTGTCATGAGCAGCTTTTTTTCCCCTAGAATGGTTCATAGTAGTACACCTAAAAAGGCAGATTCTGTCATTATATACAAACTCTCATGTTGGTTCAAACCTGTTCTTCCATTGAACGCTAACAACAATAGTTATATTTTAACAATATTACATAACTGAAACTAGCAGTTTTAAGCTCCAGAAACGGTGAAAAACACTATAAAAGTCATCCACATGACATGTGCACTTCTAATTCTAAGTATTATCAAAGTCATTGTATATATTTTGTAAGCAGTGTGCGCCTCTGTTTTGTTTGTGCACAAATGTTTGTGAAAGTGAAACTAGAGAAACCAATGACATTGTATAAACAACAGGATATTAAAGGAATAGTTCACACAAAAATGAAAATATGCTGAAAATGTATACCCTCGGGCCATCCAAGAGATGAGTTTTTTTTTTTCATCAGAACAGATTTGGAGAAATGTAGCATTGCATCACTTTCTCAGCAATGGATCCTCTGCAGTGAATGGGTGCCGTCAGAATGAGAGTCCAAACAGCTGATAAAAACATCCCAATAATCCAGAAGTAATCCACACCACTCCAGTCCATCAGTTAACATCTTGTGAAGCCAAAAGCTGTGTTAGCAATAAACTAATTCATAATTTCTAACTTTAAACTATTGCTTCTGGCAAAAATACAAGTCCTCTATCCATAGTGTTTCTTTCTCCAGTGCAAAAAGTTGTCTCATCTGAATCAGGAGAGAAAGCTGCACAGACCAAGCAACATTAACAAACCAAAACAGTCCAAAACAGCTCTAAACAAATATGTTGGAGCTTGGAGGATTTTAATGTGAGAGACAACAGAGATTAATTTATTATGGATTATGAACTCTGATTTGCCAGAAGCAACGGTTTGAAATTAAAAGCATCTTGATGGATTTGTTTCTTACAAACACGCAGCTTTTGGCATCACGAGATGTTAACTGATGGACTGGAGTGGTGTGGATTACTTGTGGATTATTGTGATGTTTTTATCAGCTGTTTGGACTCTCATTCTGACGGCACCCATTCACTTCAGAGCATCCATTGCTGAGACACTGATGGAATGCTTCATTTCTCCAAATCTGATGAAGAAACAAACTCATCTACATCTTGGACGGCCTGAGCATGAGTACATCTGTAGCAAATTTTCATTTTTTTGGGTGAACTATTCCTTTAAGTGAATCTTTAAACTGTGTAATGAAAAACTGGTTGGTCATCAAGTTGCGCATATTAGCAGTTCCAGCATAAAAACAGGTGTTTCTCATTTCACCAGGAAGGAAAAGTACATGCTCATATGTGTGCAGTTATGTCAGAGCACATATTTGTACATCTTGAGATGTTCGAGTTCTCTCTCTGTCTGTAGAGTTGCAGTCGTGCAGTGGGGGGTAAATGAGGGCGTCCCGGCCCCCTGCAGCTGTCTGTACGTCTGACATTACACGAGCATTGATCGGGAAACTTCTGCCAGCAGGTCATGTTCACAAGACTGTATTTATATCTCTCATCATGTAGCACCCACTGTCATTTCTGAACTTTAATATCTGCATTTACTCTACTAAGCATCATTGACAGATGTAGTGTACTTTAAGGCCTGGTTGTTGTTCTTTTATGTTGCTGTCAACAGATTTTTTTTTCATGTATGCATCTTTTTTTCTGCACCGATAATAATCAGAAATGTTTCTTGAGCAGCAAATCAGCATATTAAAATGATTTCTGAAGATCATGTGACACTGAAGACTGGAGTAATGATGCTGAAAATTCAGCTTTGATCACAGAAATAAACTACATTTTACAATATATTCACATAGAAAAGTTATTTTAAATTGTAATAATATTTCTTATATTTCTTTTACTTGAGTTTTGATCGAATAAATTCAGCCTCAGTGGCTGAGTATGAGACTTTTAAAAAAGCTTACAGACATTACAAACATGCATTTTAAAGAACAAGGTAAACTTGGAAGTGCAGTTTGGAGTAAACTTTAATCTGTAAAACAGCTTGGAACTTAAAGAGGAAGTGTAAGTAAGATGTTGATCTTTCCAGATTGTACAGTAAGTCCCTAAAATCCGGTCTGACCATCTTCTGCTT